ACTTGTGTACTCCTCTAGGCCTAATTAGACTGCCTACTTTTTTTTAATCAAAACTACGACTTTAACAGGTAGTGTGCCGGAAAGGGTGAATGCTTATTCCTTCCTACAAGTTCAGAATCCGATTTTTCTTTTTAAATATACATTTGAAAAATTCGCTACTTGTTCTGATTGAGGTCTAAATTTCATAGAAATTTTTCATGTTTCAGAATGTATACGTTAACTAAATACTAACTCCACAAAATGTGAGATATTTATAGATTTTACGTTCACTTTAATACTAAAAGTTACCTAATAAAGATGAATGCGCTTAATATTCCAGATGATTATAGAGAATAAATAAATATAATACATTGTTTGGTGGAAAAACTTGAAAGTTCATGAACCGTAAAGTCTTTACCATAAAAAGCTAAAATTTAAGAGCAAAGGCAAAAACTTGTGTGTATTCATAAGAATTCTATGCGAAGAGACACGGGATGCTATTAAATATTCATGCAAGAGAAGAAAATTTTAATGCACGTGCTTAATGGCAAAAAATTGCCAGCTCAACAATTTGAGAATAATAACAAAAAAAAAAAAAAAAAACCACCATGTCACGCATATTGAATTCACAAAACTTGTAACGGTAGTGATAAACCACAAACTTTCAAAACCTCTTTTATACGCAGGCTTTTATCATGAAACGTAACATAATAAACCGGAAATTCGCCTAGATTTATACGTTAATGATAAATGCAAGGAATAAATGCAAACATGAACTTAAATAAAACTAAAGCTGTATTTTATCCTTTTTTTAACGTAATGAATTCACTGTATGCTCCTACTTTTTATTTTACTGGCACACTCTGTTAAAATGTATTTTGCGATATGATTATAAATTATTAAGTGCTAAATTCAACATACAATATGTATATTTACAGGAATTTCATAAAACGATTTATTTTATAAGGATTAAATTCAATAAAAATATAAACGAAAGCAAAAATTGAATGAAAAGAAAATGTTTAAAATGCTAATAAACTAGTAAAACTTTTTAAATACTAGTAATAATTTTAACGAATGCGTAGACATAAATGGTTATTCAATAAAACGTGGCTCACCGGTGACTGAATGTTTAACCCTTTGCGGCACAATGTGTCCAGTCTGTACACACCTAAAACGTTCCTCCTGTACGCACAGAAAAATTGAATGAAAAAGGATTTATAAGTTATTATAGGTTACTCTGAACCTTCTTTCTTTACAGTAGGTGGCAGCTCAACACAAACCAGTCCATATATTTTAGCTATGTCTAGTTTTTTAAAGCCTATTTTCGAGAAAATGTCCAGATTTTTTTAGGGATAAAGGATTGTTTTGAAGAAATTTCTATGTTAATTTTTCGGCGTATTCTTCTCCTTTGTTCTATATTATTTTGAATTTTTACCTTGAAATCTTGCCTAAAATCAAACGCGAACCAGTTGTCCCAGAGCGGGCTCACCGATAATCTAGGACAACTGGAGTCTTTATTCTTTCTTTCTCCGCATCTCATCGGTCAATCTTGACACAATGCTCGTTCAGTACTCTTTTTCGAAACTCTATTAATCAGTTGCCCCTTGCGCACACCCACAGAATTAAAACGATAAGTGCTATCTTCACAAAATTTTATTTGTGCCTCTAGGCCTAATTAGATTGCCTACCTTTTTTTTAATCAAAACTCCGACTTTAAAAGGTAGCGTGCCGGAAAGGGTTAAGACGGCTGGATACTCATAGTTTGACACGCGCTGGAATCCTAGCGAATTGACTGATAACAAGGATACTTTCGTGGTTTTCTCCTTGTCTAAAGCAAATAAGAGCCGGTTTCATTAAGAGAATCCTATGCGAAGACGTCTCTCTTCTTAGGCAGACAGTGCTTCTGTACATTGCTGTATTCAAGCATGTAATCAAAATTAACAAAACGCGAGGTAGAGATAGCTTTCTGCGAGGTCTGTTAAAAGAATTTATGTTTTAGTTAATGAATATTTATTTTGAACTTTTTTGTGTAGGTTTTTGGTTTTATTTATTTTTACTTCCTTGTACGAAGTAAAACGGAAGTATTGTAATCGCGAAAAGTTTCAGGCAGCATATTTGAACGAAAATATCCCATTTTGACCTCTTTCAAATGCAATTTAACGGTGTATTTCCGTGATATCTGTATGTAAGGACAGAATAAAACACTCTTTTCCTCCAAAAAAATTATAAAACTGCTTTAAAAGGAATTCTGAAGAGAATTTTTCGTGGCGTCTGTACGAACGTATGTACGTACGTATCTCGCATAACTCAAAAACGAGTAGCCTCAGAACGTTGAAATTTTGTATATAGGACTGCTATAACATTTAGATGTGCACCTCTTATTTTGGTTGCAATCGGCCGCACCAAACGTATATAAATATATTTATATATATCCCACTTTGTTACCCGGCTCAGTGATCTCAGTTTCTTTACTCTTATATGTTTGTAAATTGTACATTATTTTGCTTTAAAAATGATTGAATTATGTTGTTTCTTATCTTCCGGTTAAGGTTTTATGCCTTTAGTAAATCTGTATGCAATATTTTTAGAATTATCAACAATTTTAAAATTGTTTAAGTGCCGCAATGTTTAATAAAGTTTTTGATGGCGGCCATTGCTCTTGTTTACATTTGAAACAGCAGGATAGCGGATTTGTTGCCAATCTAGAGAAACTAAGCTTCGCAACAACAAAGATAACGCCTTCATTTATTATTTAAATCATGCTTAATCCTTTCTGGAATTTTTTCGAGGAAATAAGCGTTTAAGATTTACTTCGTAATTTTTAATACAGATATATTGAGTTTTTATGTATTTCTGCCTTGTCGCGAAGTGAAAACTGAATTAATTGAATGAGAAATACTCAATCGTCTGTGAAAAACTGTTTCTTTGTTTCGTTTGCTTAATTTCTTTTATACATCGTTCTAGCTTTGTTATAGTATTTGAATAGAACATGTGGCAATGATTAGATAATTCTTTAAATGATATAAATTTTGTGCATTCCGAGTTATAATATGAACGAAATATAATATTGTTAAGTAAACCTAGAGCCAGAGTGTCGCTATGGCAAACAAAGTGAATTTTAAAGAATGCATTTATTCTATTGTGGTTTATGCGCTGTCGGTGAAGTAGGTTTATTTTCAGTCCAATAAGTTTAAATGAAATGCAAGAAAAAATGCGTATAATTTAATATCCGTACAAGGAAGTCATGTAGTGTACACATCAGATTTTTTTTAGTATTTTGTTAACTAGATAAGTATCCGAAAATACTTAATTCAGGATTCAGATCGAACTAAAAATGACCTCGAAAACAAAAACGCTCTCGAGTTATCTATTCTATACATCTATATTCTATATTTAGTTTCTATATATCTAGTTTTTGTACATTTTGACAAAGCATAACAATAATACTTTTTATAAATCTAGAGTTTCCACCACATATAATCGACATATATCTACTTTTAGACGACTTCGTAGTATGCATGTTGTTTGCATCAACAGCACGACAAAAATGTCCTTATAATGTTTAGTATATTGTAAGTATCACTAATTATGTTATGACATTGGAAATAATGGATTACGATAAAACACGCAAACTAAGGCTCTAATGGACAGACTGCTTTCATGGAGCGCCTAAGAAAACCTGGCCTACGTTTATGTTCTGTATAGGAAGAAAACTTGAAAAACCACAGGCAAGCAGCCTATTCGTCGGGATTGGAACCAGCTTCGAACTACAAGTGTTCAGTGGGGTTTTTGAAACTACCATATGTCTTTGTTTCAGCCGTATATCTGTGTTCGTGTATGTGAATAACTTACCACAAAAGAAAAAGACAAAATACAAGAAAAATGTTCTTAAACTGTTCTGTTTTGTTTTTAAATAAAATACGTATTAGAGATGAAATGTTGAGGCCTTTTCTGTCCTCGACTGCTTATTTGAGTATGATGAATCACACGAAAAGCTACCTGCCCAAGGAGAGGCATACCTTCGTTGGGAACTTGTTAGGTAAAACTGGCTCGTATTCATGTTAAACATGGGAAATTCACGAACACCGACTATGCAGCTAGCCCGTTCTCTGGGTTCGAACCCAGGATGAACTACAAGTGTTCAGTGGGGTTTTTGAAATTACCATATGTCTTTGTTTCAACCGTATATCTGTGTCCGTATATATGCAGAACTTACCACAAAAGAAGAAGACAAACTAGCCATCATTAACTGATCGATCGCCGGCTATCTGTTTTTGGCCTAGAGCATGGCTTATGTTCCTCATCAAAACTCCAGTTCACGTGATTCGGCTACAGGTGGGTCCCATATTAAAAATACATAGCGGTCCTAGATTTTTCTAAAAAACAAAAACTATTAAGTTTAGTAGCTACTGATTTCTCAGCTCCTTATATTGTTATTAGAAACTCTCACATCTTCATCCTTTCGTTTTTTGTTATGGTGTCGTTATATTACGTTATGTAAAGCTACCAAGGCATTTATCATCCGCGCAAGATTTTCTCGAGCCATAAAATCTTTGATTCACTGCCGTTTTCGCCCAACAATTCGCCAATTTTCAGAAATGCTATTTTTCAACATTTCATACAATCCTTTAAATAAAAACATTGCATTACTAAACAAACTGGCAAATTTAAGGAGTTCAAAGCAGTGGTAACTCATTAATAATTGATATCTTTAACACATATTTTAGTAACATTTCTAATGATGTAATTTTTTGCTATATTTAATTGATTTATATGTGAGAATATATCTAAGTGATAATTTTTACACGTATTTGTACCATAATTATAATTAATAAATAAATGTCTTATGCCATACATTTCGTACGTCATCAGTATAGAATATTCGTTTGTACTCCGACTCGAACAACGAACTTTCTAATTTCGATTATCCAGTTCCCAGTGTGGTTAAAACTTGGTATCGATTAACGTTGTATATATAAATCATTTTTAATTGCTTAATCAAAATGTATCTTTTACAGGTTAATTATTCATCTGTGCTACAATGGAAATAGCCTTCAGACGAGTAATTTGCCTTTTAACACGTACGTCTCATTTTCTGTTGGAGCCTTTCTGGAGATTCCTGTGAACATGTTCTGCATATTATCTCTGGATAAATTCGGCAGAAAATGGCCTGATGTCATTTGTCTATATATCGGAGGAATTCTTGGAATTATTAGTGGATGTTTATCTAAAAGTAAGTTTTAATCATTTCTGCTATTTGAACGTTATCTAATAAGAACTATATTAACGTAGATAAAAGGTGTTTTGTTGTGAGATTCAGAGAACAAAATGACACTGAATCATTGCACAGGTACATTTAGAAGGGAAAGTAATCGGGTTTTTTTTTACATTTAGAAAGATAAGTAAATCTTTTGGGGAAGGATATTTATTCTAAATATCCACGCTGAACGGGAACATATTGCTTAAGGTTTTTTCAATTTTTGCATTTTTCTTTTATAATTCATTCGCTTAAGTCAAAAATGGACATAATTTTAAATTTTTGCATAAAATATTTACGTAAAGCCTTTTAAATAACCACAGGAGTAGAGAAGGCGAGAGGTTAGGTTGCCAGTTGATTGGGTGAAACAGAAAGAGCACGTGAAAAAATTTATCAACAAGATTTCAGAATTTTGTATCACAGCAGCGTCTTCAGTGAAAGCAAGCCAACTAACGACAATTGAGAAAAGAAAAATTAACAAATATGAGCTGTTTGGAGAGCAAGGAAGTGTTAAAAAATGTAAAGAAATTGGTAATATTTTCTGTGTTAATGGAAAGTCTCAAGAAAGTCTATTTCGACAATTAAGGGCTCTTTTTTTTTAAATAATTTTAGGCAGAAAAAAAGATTAAAATATTGGACAATAAAGGATTTTTCTTTTTAATATAGGTCCAGTTTTGTCTGTGCGAAACTTTTAAGATTCCTTTGCATGACTGATATGTGATAAGTCAAAATGGCAAGGAATGTAACCTTTTGGAAGTTTATATCAGGAGCCAGATCTTCAAGGAGCAAACTGCAATTTCGTTTAGATGGCAATAATGACTAAAACGTCAGGCTTGTACAAAACGCCTGTAATTGATGAAAAAGAAATAAAAGGGTCATAACTAAAAGAAGGGTCATAACTAAAATGGTCATAACTAAAATGGGTCATAACTAAAATGGATCATAACTAACTAAAAACTAAAACAAAAACTAAAAACTAAAAAGGGTCATAACTAAAATGAAAAAGAAATAAAAGGGTCATAAAAGGGTCAACTGCTAAGCAAAACTGCTGAGGTTTCTTCAGAGTGCAAACTCGGAGAAGAAAAGCAGAAATATAGGATAGAAATATATTTTGTTTAATAGAATGATAGGATTTAGCACATGGAGGACAGTATACTATGAAAGTTTTCTATATACTTGAAGAGAGATTAGGTTATTTCGAATCAGGAGACATGAAAAATGAGCAACGTCCTCGACGGGACTCGGAACCTCGGACATCTCGAATACACTCCGAGTGTTAGTAGGATATTAAAAATACACCATAAGGCAGTAACTAGTTTTTTTTTTATTATCGCTTATGTCAATTAACAGTTAAAGGTATGCCCATTTACTAATGTGTAAGTCATTGCCCATTGCGTGGATTACTTTTTTAATATGATGCATGTCAAATGATGCCCCCTCTGCACAACACATTCATCTAGGCGGCGTTGGTAGCTTGCCATAACTCGGCATAACGTATTCCCTGGGACACTGCCGATGGCAGTTCTGATGCGATCCTTCAACTCAGGAATGGTGGCACCAACGTGTTCGTAAACGTCTTGCTTCAGGTGGCCCCAAAGTTGGCACATGAAAGATCAGGTGAGCGAGGCGGCTAGGAAATGTCACCAAAACGGGAAATTACTCTACCTGGAAATGTCTGTCGCGATGGTCCGTCCATCTGGAACTTTTCCATAACGTCCCAAATTGAAATGTTGCCGAAATAGACGCTGGATAGCAATAACAGAGTGGTTATTCTTGAAATAACTTTCAACAGCAAAGGCACGATGCTGTGCACTCCACCATTCCATATCATTATTACACTCAAAATGGCAGCTCATTAGTACCGAATGCGACACGAGCTGGCGCGCATTCATGCAGTACGTCATTGTACTACTCAAGTCAAGCTACGCTATGAACGTTGCCGCACCCTGTAGAATCAAAATTAAAAAAAAAGGCTTTCCTACGTAGAATACGCAAACTGAAAAATTGCCTTAAAAAAAGGAAAGAAAGACAAAAGTATTTCGATTTTCGTAACCCCCTATGTCTTTATTCTTTTGTATTTTTAGGGAAATTGAAGTAAAGGTTTTGCAGTGAACGTACTAGTAATGGTTAAAAACATTGTAATTACATATTACGTTAGTGAGTTTAAACTTCATAGAGTTTTCATTTCTCGAAATAATAACCTATTTTATATTCTGGAGAAATATATTACTAATACTAGATTGAATTGAATTGAATTTTGATACAAGAATCTGATATTTTAAGAAACTGACATTAATTTTTTGCTAGTTACTCCAGAATAGAAAGACAAAATAAATGTAAGGACAAGCATTCCCTGTTGTAATTTATTAATTGTGTAAGTCATTAAGATAAGCAGTGTTCGTCTTGTGTTTTTCTTAAGCATTTCATTTTACGTTTATATTTTTTAAAATTTGAGGGGATAACCTAAGCAATTTAGCATAAAAATCGTAGTTATTCGGTTGGTTTATTTATAAAAACCAAATAAGGTGTTTATACCTTATTTGGTTTTTATAAATAAACCAACTTGATTTTGATCTTAAAATGGAATTATAAGGTTTTATAAGAATTTATAAGATTTATAAGGATATAAATAATTTATAAGGATAAAATTTATAAGATTTATAAGGATATAAAATAATTTATAAGGATATAAAAATTTATAAGATTTTAAGGATATAAAAAATTTATAAGGAATAAAAAATTTATAAGGATTTATAAGAATCTATAAGCAATCCACAGCAAAACAAAAAAATTCATATGAAAATTGTGATCATACATAATATTTCCACTACTTAAAAAATATTGAGAAAGCCGATAATTAAGTGTCTGAATGAGGTATGATGAAACAAGTCAAATAACGCGTTGCAGAAGAACTATAACGGTTGTAATCAAAATTTTCTCTAATTTTCTGTTCATGCCTGAAACAATAGTCATCCACGCAGCCTTGCAAACTGCCAAACCTAAAAGGTGTTGTATTTCCACGCGCCATAAAACCTGCAGTCTTTTCACACCCATCAGTGTAGAAAATATTAGTGTATTAAAGGAAGACTTTTCTAATGTCATTTATTACATAGCTTGGCTACAGAATAGTAATTTAGTTGCCATCTACTTAAGAGTTTGTTGCACTTCTTTTTTGCTTGCACTGTACTCACATATAAAAGTCAGTACTCAAATAATTTATCATATATTTTCGCGAGAGATTTGAAAAGTTCATAATTTCTCGAGAAGTGATAAACTCAGAATTTTGTTTTTTCTCAATAAATTAAAATATATAGCTATAAAATTGTGCTGCAATTGGAAAAAAATAACACTTTTCGAGAATTTAGAAAAGACATGAAGTCAAGCATAATTATCAGTGACTGAACTTGATTTTTGTAAATGAGCAAATAGAACAATCTTAGTGACGTAGCATATCTTATTTAAATTCATATGACAAATCTCCAGATATGAATAATTAGAATATTCTTCGCAAGCTTTTGCACTTTAATACTATTGATTTTAGCAACTGAGGTTTAATTATATGTCTTTCAAATGGAAATAATTATCCCTTAGCCTTTTAACTGTCATGTCCGAGATTATCTCGGGCACAGCACTGGTGTTTCGAAAATGTCACGTCCGAGTATTTCTCGAGGTATTTGTTTTCTGAGTGCATCGTATTGTTATACCCGAATATATATCGGGAGACGTTTATTTCGGCTTCATCTCTTTGTCAAACCCGACTGTATCTCGGGAAAAGTTAATGTGCGCTCAATAAATCATCAAATTAACTTGACAGTTAAAGGGTTAACATAAAATCTGCGATAATTGTAATTTTATAAATTATGTTGTGGAGACATTAGGATTTTTTTTGGAAGCCAGAGAGATGAAAAATTAGCAACCGCCTTCGCCGGGAATTAAACCACGAACCTCTGAAATACCGGCTCCGTGTGCTGATCACTACACCACGAAGACACGCTGGGAAAGCGGAAGAAATACTTTATAATGACATCTCTTGCAAATATTTTAAAGATTTCATTGATTTAAACATAATGTGCCTTTTCTTATGCTCATCAAATTGAGCATTTAGGTTAACAACATTTTAAAGTTACTCTGATTATTTAGTAAATTCATTTGCTATTTTTTAAAATTTGAATGAATATATATTTCAAAATTTAAAATAATTCCTATTAGAAAGTACACTTAACACTATTTCGGCATACCTAGCTATTTTAACCTAAAATTCCCAAGTATAGTAAAGTAAGTAACTTAAGGTACGAAATTTTGAAAGAAGATATACTCAATTATTTCACCAATCTCAAATTTCAAAGATCTGTCTGAGTAAAAGGGAAATTGAATTATTCTTACTTCTTACACCGTACACAAGTTAAGTAATAGAAAAATTGGAATATTAAAAAAAAAACATTTGTAAGTTTCTTAAAAATAGTTTCCTTAAAATATTTGTTAATCGTATCATTCAAAATAGAGAGCAAACAGCAATTTTAAGCTATTTAATTTTCATTAAAATGTTATAGTCATAATCCAGCTCTAAATCCATCCGTTATAATTTTGCTCCGAGAAACCTTACTGGGATCAGTTATCAAATCTGCAGGTTTAAGAAAAAACATTTAAGCAGCCAGTCTTTCGAGATTCATTGGTGAAAAAAAATGCAAAATAAAATGAGAGAAGGAATATAATAAATGCGTAATGAAAGAATATTGGCTAAATTAGTAATAAGCCGGATAAATTACTTTTATTAATGCGAAAATAAATGAACACCAAAATAAAAAACGTAAATATAAATTAATTGGAATAAAATTTGAACAGCAATTAACCTTTAATTAAATATATGCAATAATTAAAACGCGTAGGGATATTTAAAATTACGTATCATCTGCTATATAGTGATTCATAAATTGCTGGCTAATTGCACTCTAAATTGCAGTTTTAAAAATGATCGAAAGAGACCGAATATTAATACCCAAAATCGTCAAGCAGCATTTTGGCATAAAATAAAAAACAGAAAAGTAATAAATGTTCTTTTAAGGTGGATATAAGCTTCTGCCTTGTTACGAACGTTCGTCAGAGTGAGTGATGATACCGTGGAGCGGCAGTAAACGTTCAAGGACAAAAAGTGGCGTAGTGATGAAAATTTGTCAAGTTGTAATGTCAGATCAGTGCCGTAGGTCCTGTAACTGGTCTCGGTTCAAGTTAACGTTTTGATCCGCCTATCTGTTGAAGATATATTTCTACTACACTTGAAAAAATTATTTTATCAATAAGTGTGAAGAAGGACAAAATGATTACAATGAGTCGGCGAATAAATTTTGTTTAAGCTGAAGCAGCAATGAATGATTAAAAGTTTACTGCCAGGGAGCATTGAATAAATAAATAAAAAATAAGAGTGGGAATATATGCTAATTTATAATGAAACTCAAGACAAAGCGTTTAGAAAATATAGTTTTAAATAGGAAACATTCAAATATTGACTGAACATAAATTGTATTTATAGCCAGAAATATATTTAAGCATTAATTGGACATCATTCGAGCAAGTGCCAATTGAATTACTAATGCTTTGACAGCATATTCGCAGTAATAGAAAATAGCCCATTTATAATAAAATTGTATTCCAACATTTTATTACATACGAATTTTACAACAATTTTAACTTGCATTATTTGCTTTACGAATGTTACCTTCCAAGTATTAATTCAACATAGAAGGGAAACCCGTTTAAGAAAAATTTTAACATTAATTCTATAATTAGTACTCTAAAAAATGGAACACATGGGAGGTGGGTATTCAATACAGCACATTTTACTGCTAAAACACGGTGCAATATTGTAAGGATCTAGTCTTACTAACGTTTATTTTATTTTAAATCTTTACTATCACTTCTTATTTTCTACTTCCTGCCAGAATTAAAAGCTTTAACTTATTTATGCAAATTGGTCTTGCGAACGCCAAGTACTTAAGTTGTGGCTTTTTGCCAAGCAAGAGAGAGGAAGGAGCTATTAGAAGCAGGCCGCTTGCCATAGCAGTTTTACTCGGTTGCTGGTTGCCTTCAAGGCCAGAGGTTTAATCCTCGTGATAATTTTAAACGTATCGTAGTGTTAACAGTTCTTTGTACTACATACGGCCTTTCTGTTAATATACGGCTAATCTTCAAGTCGACACTTGTTTATTAATCCAAAGTTAGTTTAGTTAGAATTTAGTTAATATTTTTATATTCTTACGTTCAGACCACAAGTGGTTGGTCTCTTTATTCCGAAGTCCGGAAATCATTGTAAAAGAGAGAAAAATAAAGGGTTTCGTATACCCTTCCTGTGTATCTTGTCTACTTCCCACATTTATTGAACATAGCTTTAGTAAGCTCCCTGTTCCGAGTCAGGTCATTTAATGTTCCCCAAGCAAGTAAGGAGGAACACTGAACCTGATAATATGTCTAAAATTAATTTTTTTATTTTCTGTATTGTTGTACGTGATTTCAAAGCACTTAGCACAGCAGTCCATTTAGGTTAGATTAATTAGCTTGCCATTTAGCTTACCATTCGGATTTCAGCTGAAAAAAGGTTTTGTTAGTCTTCAAACCGCTACTGAAAGGTATCCAAGTCATGATCGTTGCTGTAATGTAAACCACTCAAATATTGCTTGAGAATTTTAAACAAAAATAACTCTCTTGGGACAAAACTCGTATATACATTGGATGGAAGAAAAATTAAAAACGTATTGCTGGATAGCAGTGCGAGAAACGTGAGTTGGGCATTGTAATTCAGAAAACACACTATTCTAAGTTTGCCCCAGACCTTTACTTTTTGTTGGAACTGAGTCAAAGTATTAAACACATGAGTCACCTCGATATTATATTGTACATAATAAGCAGTGATCCATATTTATCTTAAAAATGATTAAGGAAGATGCCTGGATTCTGAAATAGTGGGTTTGGGCAAATCCCTCGGGTTTCCTCACACTCGCAAGGCCATATTTTATCTCCTGTCACTAGCCGTGAATAAAAATTTTTATCAGCGTTTATCATGAGAAGCAGCTCTTCAAGCTACCAATATTTCGTCATTTCTGGTCTTAACAATTCTAGATGCATATCTAGCTCAGATCTTCGGACATACCCAGTTTTTCATGCAACAATTAATTTGCTGATCCACACCGATAACCATTTTCGTAGCAATTTGGGAAGCTGCCACGTGTTTGTTTTCCATTAAATAATACTTTAGATTACATTTCCTAAATAATTCCAGCCATACCGCGGCCTGATCTGAGTTTACTTCCGAATGCTGCTTTTTCCCGTCTACATGTGGCAATTCACTTTTTGACGGTTGCAAATGAAGGTACTGTATCACCATAGACTGCAATCATATTTTCACGAATAAAATGGATCTGGGTTATGCAATTTTTGTCAAAAGCTCAATCATTGAACATCGTTTTAAATTTACAGTATTAACATTGACTAACGGTATTTAATAGCCTCTAATAATAACACGCGCTATGACATCCTTTCTATATTTCCAAAGCATGATCATGATGCAATCATTTCACTAAGTTTCGTCATGAAAGGTACTACATGCTAGGATATGCAATTTATTAGCATTCCAGCGTATGCACATGAAGCAGGTATGAATACCGCTGCTCATACTAGGTGTATATATATATATAGGAAGACTGCACAGTGGGTTTCTCATTTTAAAATCGTATTTGAATGTTGGTTGTTTGTATAAAGGTTATGTTATGCCTCATGTACGCAGCATATCCAGTGTTGAACGTTAACATTGAATGAATGTATATTATAAGTTCTGATGTAAATTTTTGTAGTCACATAACTGACAAAATGAACTAATCTGCTGTGCATTTATTTATCTCCTCTTTTATTCTTTTACGGTGTAGATATTAGGTATTTTAAATTAAAGAAAGGACCGACTTTAAATAGTTTATGCGTAGTGTTAGAGTAAAACGAATTCTGGCCTTGGAATTATTGGTGATTCTTCGATCGGGCTTAGAAAGAAGAAAAGATATGCTTTTGTAAACTACCCGTTTTGTTAATATGAATAGGAATACTAGACTGTCACTTGAAATACTAATTTATATCTTACCTGTTACCTGGTGACTGATATTACTCGTCTCATAGTTACATCAAATCAAGTTCAGGAATTTTATCGTGGCCGAGAGGCAGGAGTTGACTTAAGTCTTGGCACACTGTAAGTGACAGTGCGAATTTATTTAGCTCCGCCCCAATTTTGAGGGAATTCTCCGGGGATTGTGTCAAAATTCTTGTTAATCCTCTTCCATTTCACCAATTTTTCGAAAGGACTTTCATCTCTACAGTATTTTAAGTTCCCATTACCTAAAAAAAAAAAAAAAAAAAAAAAAAAAATTTTACACTTAAAAAGCCTCTGACGAGTAAGGGGGTGATTACGAACCTTTCAGAAATCGGAGGAAAAATAATGAAAAAATTAAATAATATTACAACAGGTAGCCTTACAAATGCTGTAAGAAGTCTATGAACATGCCCTGCAATGTATTAACAGCAGCAACAATGATGTGTGTAGATGGCTATAAAACTGTTTTCTTCAGATCTCAATTTTAGTTTTTATTTCAGCTCTGAAACATTATAGCTATGCGATTAATTTTAATAGTACTACCTAATCGAAATATACGATTTGCAAAAAGAAATGAGTTTTCTAAAAGATCATATCTTTCAAAGTTTTGTAAAGACATAAATAGGCAGTCATCAGACAACTAACAGATCTTTAATACAAGATTATTATATTAAAGATCTTTAATATAAGATTATTATATTAAAGATCTGTCAATTAATCTGTTAAAATTGGACTTTAATCAATCTGTTAAAACTGGACTCTAATCAATCTGTTAAAATTGGACTCTAATCAATCTGTTAAAATTGGACTTTTAACGCACTCAGGTCTGCGCGTTAAAAGTCCAATTTTCGTAGACTTGGCAAATAATGTAAAATATCTTTTAAAAATCGAGTAAACTATATAGCTTTAAAGAGAGTTTAAAATTAATTCTCCCTCCGCATCTCAAATTCTTACGCATTCCTTCCTTGCACATGCACGGTTGGAAGAGAGAAAAACTATTCCGCTTTTGAATTAATGTAAATTATAAGCTCTGATGTAACTTTTCGTAGCCAAATAACCGACATAATAAACTAATCTAACTGTGTATATATATTTATTTCCGCTTTTATTCTTTTACGGTGTGAAGAAAACGACGGTTTTCGTCTGATCGATGTGGACACTTACCTGTTCCTCAACAGTTTTCAGTGGAATATATGACCAGACGATGTTAATAATGTGTTGCAAACTCATCGAGACTAATTATGCTCTTTTTAATTACTTTCAGATGCTGTGCATGAAGTATTTGCCATGGCAATGCTTGTCCGCATCACTTTTGCTGCTGGGACAAATATCACTTTTCAGTACACAGCCGAACTGTTCCCCACCGAAGTTCGTGGCAGAGGCCTGTCTTTGCAAAGAATGTTCGGAGCAATCGGCAGTTGTTTGGCGCCCACCGTTGTCTTTTTGGTAAATATGATTGATAATGCGTGACGTATAATTAATTGCCTCTAATTAGTGGTTTACGAACTACTGATATTGCTCAGTGTGGCTTTTCTTATTAACCGGCAAAGGAAATGTGAGCTTAATTATAGCAATTATTGTAGCAATCATTACATCATAAATAATGACAATTATCACAGAATCTAACCACTACGTGAAGTAATAAGGCTTTTCCATTGTCCAAACTTTATTGCATCTAAATGTTCAAATCTTCTTTGTGATGTAATGAGCTATAAAATTCATATTTATCTGCGTATCAGTGTTTCCAACGTACGTTAAACACATAACAAAATTAATTCATAGCTCTCCTTCGATTGCTTCTTGCATAAATACTTATTGAAATTCAATCCATAATTTCATTTATGTAAAGTAAGTGTAACCTTCTGCAGAAAACTCGCAATTTAAATAAGAATGAAATATTATTTTAGAGTTACTTTTCTTATGACTTCCTTCCACTAGAACCTTTCATCTGTAGCTGAATGGATAAAACTACGAATATCAATTTTGCCCATTCAGCTCATTAGTCCCAAATATGATTCATGGAGGTACAACAGGATGGCGCATTAAGTTTGCATGGTATTCCTTGTACATGCATCTTAAATGTTAACTGTTTTATTTCAGAAAGCCTTCTGGAAAACACTGCTCAAGAAAGCAGATACCTTCCCTTTTCCTTAATTAATTGTCTACCTGGGTTCCTTTACTAATATGTTTATACCAGCACAAATACATTCTAGAGTGACCTTTTATATTAATCTTTAAAGAATCTTTTGAGGTAAATTAATTACTGCGATTATTATAACAATCGTTACACCATAAATAATGAGAGAAGTGATACAGTAGCTAACACTAAAGAGAGTAGTAAAATTATTTAGTCTTAGGGTTTAGATGCATGTGACTGTTAAAATATAAGTAAACAAAGTTTGATATGATTTACTGCCCAGAGCTGCTAGAATATTTTGAGATGGTCTATTGTTCAGTGTTAACATACAGGGGAATCCAAAATTACTGAGCGCATTTCACATTTGAATTTCGTGCCACAAGTAGACATCATGTGAAAGTTATTTAATCTTTAAAATTTTTCTGTGTAAAACTGTTTTAAATGGTCTTTCCAAGAAAACAATAAACATGTACGCACCTTATTTTGTTCTTTTTTTATCAAACATGAAATGCGCTCAATAAATTTTGACCACCCTTCATATTTATATTTATAAGGCATTATTGTTTGTAGGCGGAAATCGATCGACTGCTTCCAATGCTGGTACTTGGTAGTTTGTCGCTTGTAGCTGGTTCATTGATCATCCTATTGCCAGAGACGACGGGTCATCAATTACCTCACACTTTAGAAGAAGGCGAAAAATTCGGTGCTCAGGATAAAATTTGCTCTTTCTTCCCTTCAAGGAATAGGTAAGCATTTGAATGCATAACTTAAAAATTTACTCGTGTAAAAAAACAAAGTTTGTTGGAAAAGATTTAAATCTAACTATTATTGAGACAATAATAAATAAATAAATAAATAGAAAAAGTGTTTGTGTTCGTTTTCAAGGCAAGTTGTTTATAATTTACTTAAGAAAAACTGAACATTCGTAAACTCAACTACAAGCAAATACTCTTGCAGGGTAAATGGCTTCGTTTTTATGTTATTTACTGCATTACGTTTTGTTATTAACTATTAGGTGTTTACAAAATCCTTTAGATTGCAAATAATTTGACATTACTGTGATTTAACAGTAGTCCTTTTTACGGAGAAGTCTTGTTTCAGAAAGTACTGATTCATTATCCTAAAATTTATCTTTGGTATCCTAAGTAATAACGTTATTTTTATTAGAGGTAAAAAGAGAACGTGATTAAATGCGTCTACACGCCATTCTATAATTTTATATCAAAGGAAAAAAAGATTATTGTGAATTCAAAAATTGATCAATTTATAATTTGTGAACACATAGAGAGACCATTTTTTGTACCGAAAGAGACGATTTAGAAGCTACAGGAGTAGCAGAATTGACATCAATGAAAAATCGTGATCAGAAAGAATTTAGAAGCCATGAATATCGTTGGAAAACAGGATTCATTTACTGAAGTATTTCAGAGAGTTGATTCATTTACTTAAAATATTAACTATATATGATTCTTTCTGTTAATTAACTGAATGCACTTAAAAACCTAAGGGACATCTAAAAGCATCTCATAGAAAGGTACATCCCATTGTAATATTCAGATGTCGCCAAGTTTCTCGATTTCAGAGTTTTAAGTTCTTTACCATACCGATTAATCTTCTAGGAAATGCGAGAAAGAATGGTACTCATTTGCATTTTTAATATTTTTTAACGATATCTCCCAAAACGAAACTTAAAGCGTAAGGTTTTTTTCAATACATAAATAACTACGTTGAGGAGATGAACAGATAATTATGCAGATGATAGAAGCAGGCAATTCTATCCATACAGAATTCCGTTCAAACGAGATGATAAGATAATCATCTCGTTTGACAAAATGGCAAGGAAGCCGGATAAAAAACCCAAGGCGTAGAACAATTCGTCTTGAGCGTTATCTTCCTTTTACATCAAAATGCTATACAGCTGTCACATGTAGAACATTTTCTCCTTATCTCTTTGCAGGGACATAATACTTTGCGACGACATCTTACTGTAAGATTCCTTACGTATGCATCTATCTGTATTCTATCTCAATATTAGCAGAAACAAATTATATTCTTGAGTCTGAAATGCGGATTCTTCTGGAGATTTTTTACTTCCATTTCCTTTTCGATCACTATAGTAATAAAACACATAGAGATTCCTTTGACAGTGCTAATGTTCTCGTTAATGAACTTGCTAACTAGAAAATGTTTTCGATAAAATTTGCTCTTAATGAAAGAAAAGCTTAGATTCATAAAATGAGTATTTTCAGGAAACATAGACTAATTTTAAGAAATCTGAAATTTGTGTGGCAAGAATTATTTGGCTTTTAGAATATATCCTGTCCCCTACTAACCCCTTCCGTTACGAAAACCCCCGGTTTTTTATTTTGAATGCATAAATAAAAAATATTTAAATATTGAATTTTGGAACAATATTGAAAGAACTTTTCACACCATTTAACTGAGGTTAATTCTTCACACCAACCATAAATAAATCTTACACACTTCATGAAACTCAACACTCGGCGATTTTATCGCTTGCGCCGGTGAAATGGAAATTTGCGCCGGCCAAACGGAAAAGTACCGTTTTTCCTTTACAGAAATATATATTGACCGATGCTCACACTAAATTTTTACAAGAATGAAATCTTACAGACTAACAACAATTCGGCAGTGACTTGTACCAAGAAATTCTAACGGTAAACAATATGTGATAGGATCTGTGATATTTCCACAAGTAAAAAAGGTGTTGCCAAATTCAGTACACTAGAAATTTTAAACTAAAATTAATTATCATATTCAACAGTATGTATGACGAGTATAGCTCGTCATTGTGCGATATGGCATGAAAAACCAATGACGAGTGTGACTCGTCATTGTGCGATATGGTATAAAAACCAATGACGAGCTAGACTCGTCATTTTACCGGAAGGGGTTAAAGCTATTATCGACTACCTTTGACAACTGATTCTACCGCATGCTGCTTTTATGATCCTCATTGACAATAATGTATGGTTTTTATTGCTAAAATGCCTTCTACTGTGTCTTTAATTATTTGTAACAGTACAGGAGGACAGGTTTACATCATATGGAAATTGCAAAATGGTAATATTATAAACGCATTATTTAGATATAGATTCAACTGTAATTAATGCCAGCTCGAATTTTAAGTGTCATATTATAAATTGTGGAAGCAACTAAAAAAAAAAAACATAGTAACGGCAATTACTATAACTTCACTTAAACTAAGTAAAAAAAAGTTGAGATGAGGGGGATAGGAAAGGTAAAAAAGTAAAACAACATATAAATCGAAGCATCGATTTTAACATACAGTTCTTGCGCAGTTCGATAAAAATGAGACAATATCTGCTTATTAACAAAATCCCGTCACAGTAATCCCGTCACTCTGTTAAATTAACTTTTAAATTATAGGTATTTACTGATTCGGCTTGAATTTTAAGCAGACTTTCTAATAACATATTCAAAATGTTGTATACATACCTATGTGTGAGAGCAGAAATCAACAATATCCATTTTAAAAATATTCTTAAAATTTAAGTGCATGCTTTTTAAAAATAGAACAAGTTTCAACTGCGTAAATAAATAAGCAAAAAATAAGGTTGCGAGAAATTAAAATCATTTCACTCATTCTATTAAACTATATCTGCTTTTGTTCTAAGAAATTATTCTATGAATATAATCTAGTGCAGTTATTTGAATAGTAATAGAAAAAAAACGTGTGCACAGTCATTAAAGAGGAGCAGTATGTAAAGACAAAAATGCAATATTTATATTTAGCAATGGCAGGCTTTCAGATCCATTTTTTATAGCACTGATATTTGCAATTTTCAGTAATGAATCCTTGGTCATATTTTGATCTATTGTAAGTATAATTATATCTTAGACGCACATGAATACGCATGGATTCTAATATGCGGATTCTAATATGCGTAATCATGTGCGCAGAGTTATTTCGCATTACATTGAACCTGACTGAGCATCGAGCCATTAGGTGAAGCGCATATGCCCGAGATCAGAATGTAACACATAAAATGTTACGTGTTCTCGTATTATAAAAGGTCACGTCACATTGCGTCTAAGGAGTATTTACTCATTATAGTAATTATTATCATTGCTTTTACAAGTTCACTTTTGAAATTATCGATAAATAGTTTGCGCGTTAAAGAATGTGCTTGATATAATAACTATAAAATTGTATAATGTAGTTGACTAATAAATTAAACAATATGAAAATAATGGAAACCGAAATGAAATAGAAATGCAAATCAACCGCGAATGTTATATTTAACTGTCATCATTACTGACGTTTCTTTATTTCTTAATCATTGTTTTGGAACATCGCATTTTCAATTCTAACTTATGTAAACATGCACGTGAGTGTATACCCACCCACCATATAGAACGTTTTCCTGTTCCTTTCGAAACTTCCGCGTAATTATGGAGAGAAGTTTTCTTTATGACCTGTCGCTTTCTTAGTTTCGTTGTTTACTGTGAGAAGGTTGAAAAATGTGAGAGGGTTATTTACTGTAAAAGTCAAATATTTCATTGTTTATTCGAATTCTTTGGGTTGTTAGCCATGTCCTTTCTGCATATTGCGTAAAATATTATACTTTCTTGAAGTTTTTGCTTTTCAGATCCCAAAACGTTGTTGACTCTGCTCTCGAAATATTTCAGCAAGTCGATATCCTAGGTAAAGTTTGATGTTTTAGGAACAGAAGGCGCGAAAATCGTGGTGATTACGCTAATCTAAGTGTCATTCACAAACTCTTATAAAATTAAAAATGAATAACAATGAAAACAAGGAATGTATAAAAAGCTAATAAAAGCCCGAGGATTTAACAAAACTCTGGAAATATTTTAATGAAAAATCAAAATATTAAGCACAAAACATTAAAAAAATCAGCGAAATCTTGGTGTTTAAATTTTTTGGTTAATTTGAATTAAAATGAAAAGCGCATCAATCATGATCAAATTTATTATTCTGTAACTCTCACTAGAAATCAACTGGCTACCAAACTGTCACCTTTTTAAAATCTTTTACAGAAGTTGCCTGTCAGGTATTTCCCCTGACCTTTGGTCTTTTGTCAAGGACTCAGGCGGAAAGACATCCTTTCAAGATCACTTCTCTTGCCATTGATGCTGACCAGTAATCACTTGAATGTAATAATCACTTCAAGTAAAAAATCAGTTGCCAGCTTCAGTAGCTCAAAGATCGCTATCCAATTCAATACGAGCCCTAGTCTTAACAAAGTGAAAGATTAGGACATCTCTGAAACTGAAAGGCTAGAAAACGCTCATCAAAGATCTCGGCTGAAATATTAAATGCATATTTCATCTTCAAAATAAATTTCTGAGTTAAACGTTCTCATTTATTGATGCATCATAGAGAATAATTTGAAATTTCTTGTAGTACTATAACATGTCTTTAGGAATTTTGTTTTGTTACAAGAAACTATGGTCAAATACTCATTAAAATGTTTTCCAATGATTTTCATTCCTCAACAGGTTTGCAGCTGTTTTATACTTTTCAAACTTTTATTTTAAAGTCTGCAATACTAGGAAAGTTACACAAAATTTTAAAGAAATTTATTTAATAATTTACCGTCTAAAGCGTAACATTAGAAAATCGAAAGAAGACAAGATCGTAATTACTACTCCTATGCTATCTGTAGCTATTTATGCTAAAAAGTATCATAATCTAGGAATTTTAAAATTAAAGTATCGAAAGTTTGTGCTGAATTTCTTTAGCTTTTAGAATATCATAATTATTGAAAATAAAAGAGAGCCTCACAGAAAACAACAAAATAGTAGGAAAAATCTCGTTATAAGGAACAAAAACTTAGGTAACTCTAGATACAAAACGAAAAACGAATAAATCTCGAGAAAAGTGAAATAAAAAAATGGACCCTTCAACAGACAGCCTCCATTGAACACGTGAAGCTTCATTCTGTATTCTCTTCTCGATGGAAAGGTTGACTGCGTGAACTTTATTTATTTATTCTCTTTTTATTCTTTATGATGTAAAGTACAAATCAAATTTTCTTAGCCTATCAGAAATATATTCTTAAAATGGATCACACTAATACTCTTTTGCAGTAGTTAAATATATAACTATGGAAACAACAAAAAAAAAACTTACTAAAGAACTAATAGTAGATAAAAATTCTCTAAAGATGGCAAAAAGCATAAGGGAAGTGGTTGGAAACCCGTGGTTGCGAAAGAAATCTAGGCAAATTCAGATAAATATTACGGAAATATAAAGGTAGATGAATTAATAATCAAAATTTTGTCAGCCAAGATAGTTTTCTGAACGCTTATTAGAACTTCTGTCTGATGATCAAATCTTCACTTAGTAACTAGTTCTGAAGGGTACCATTCGTTATTATAAACGAAAAGTTGGTGTTCCTTTTGCCTCGCTATTCATTAAGTTAATGCGCACATTGTGATGTGCATCGTGTAACACAAGTGTAAAATACCTCGCTATTAAGTAATTTCTGCTAGATCGACAATACCCATTTTGAGAGGTAAGCGATCTTGGCCTTTCTTCTTCAGGATAAAATTACTTTTTAGAACTGATAGTGAATCATTTTTTTTTTCCGGACATTTCTTTTTTCAGTAACTAAAGTTCAAGCCCAATTTTAACAACTGCATCTATAACGTATCTATTTCTTGCCATTTGCTAGCTAAAAATAATTTGGATTTCTCTTAATATTTATAAAAATTAGAACTGTTAATACAAATGATTATTTTTTCATTAATTAGTAGTGATAATAATTGTATTAATAATATATTTTTTCACAGGAAAGCAGAAAATGATGGAGAATGGAGAAATGGGGCCAAATTCGGAAGGGATAATTTGGCAGCTGATGTGCCTCAGGGTACACAGGGAGTATTTATTTTGACCGCCAAAGAAACAGAAGCTAAACTATAACATTCTGTACAAATAAAGCATTCACCTTATTTATTTTACCTCCTGTATATTTTCATGAGTTCTATCTATAATAAAGTTATACTTGTGATCACCTAAAATACGTGTTTTTTATTTATTAAAAATTTAATGATTCATAAAATCCCTCTGAACTTTAAAATTACTGAAAATCAAAATAAAATCCTCATCCAAACGAAACTTTTAATGAGATAGTACTAAGCAGTTTCGGAATATTTTTTAGTAATCATTCTATCTTTTTCATGGCCTATTTGAAAAGCGAAGTGAAATATATCGAAGGCTATTGCAGAGAGGAAATTAAAAATAATTAAATCCTTCGAAGAAAGAAAAATACAATTTCTAGCAACTCTGTTTAAGTATTTATAAATATTTGTGCGAGGAAAATTATTATACCTAGTTTATCAGTTGAAGTGTATAATTAGTATTCGAAGTTTCTTTACGTATGAGTATCAGGTAAAAATGTACTTAAAATTAGACATGAAAATCTAATACCAGTTTGAAATAGATGGCAAAACGTAGACAAAAGTAATAATCAGTATTTTATTCAGTAGAACCTAGTAATAAATATAATATATGTACTCTTATTTAATTCAATTGTTAAATTTCCTGTCTGAAGATTTCTTTAATTCAAGTATGTCGGTGTCAAGTATTGCATAATAAATATATCAACTTACTGCATTTTATCCTCTGGAGCGATTAATAAGGTCTCCTTATTACCCGCTTTCTTCCCCCAATGATTCGATGATAGCTGTGGACAACTGTTGAAGTATAATTGTTTCAAGCTGTTATAATGATTTCTTTATGCGTGTGCGTGTGTGTGTGTGTGTGTGTGTGTGTGTGTGTGTGTGTGTGTGTGTGTGTGTGTGATTATGGCAAAGCCTCGAGGGCTATCTGTCTAAGGGAAGGGATGCCTTCGTGGAGAACTTTCTAAGGGAAACTGGCTCGTATACACGTTACACATGGGGAAAACCACGAAAACACCCATGCAGCCAGCCCGTTCGCGGAATTCGAACCTCGGACCGAACTACCAGTGTTCAGCGACTTTACCGCTCGGCCGCTGGTGGGCCCCGATTTCTTTATGAAAGCGATGAAAGTATACATCACAGCTGATGAAAGTGGACATGTTCCTTTTATAGAATGAACTCAGATTTTTTATATAGGGAATATATGTTGATATTTTCCGTCCCAATGAGTTATCAGTCTTCCTAATGAGCTTTTTCTCTTCCACAACTTTTTGTTACCGAAACAAATAGAGTTCTTTTAGCAAATGAAGAAAGTATTAATCGGGAGTGATCAATAAATTTAAAACATACTTTTCAATCACTTTAAACATCTCAAAGCTTTCAGATGAGAAGCAAATAAATTACTCTGTCATGCCAAATCAAAACTCAAACTAAAAGTTAATTAATTATGAAAACGCACGAAATGGCTATCTCCTCCGGTGAAAAATGCTTTTATGGAGGAGATTTCTAACACAATTTCCCTCGTACGCATCGATAAAGCCATCAACTGGTTTGTTTGTTCGTTGGTAATATGTTAAATTGTGCGAATGCTATCTGCCTTATTAGAAGGATGCCTTAGTGGAAGAATTTCTAAGGGAAATGGCTCGTATTCGCTTTACAGATAGAAAAAACAACGAAAACGCCCTTTCAGTTAACCTTTTCCCCAGAAATCGAATTGTCTTTATTGCGTAGTCTTATTCACTAAAAAAGTCGAAAGTAGTCAGTAAGAAAGTAGGTTCATTTATGCGATTATGGCAAAGCCTCGAGGGCTATCTGCCTAAGGGGAGGGGTGCCTTCATAGAGAACTTTCTAACTGGAAACTGGCTCGTATACATGTTACGCGCGGGAAAAACCACGAAAACGCCCATGCAGCCAGCCCGTTCGCGCGATTCAAACCTCAAACCGAACTACCAGGCTTCAGCGACTCTACCACTCGGCCGCTGGTGGGCTTAGTAAGAAAGTAGGAAAGCCCCTTGAGCGAGCCCGGATAGCTACTGGCTGTTGAAGCCGCAGTCACCTATCCAATTACCATATGTGGTAAATTTAGCTGTTTGAGTGTAGATAAGCTTATTAGGAAGGTATTCGAACTCATCAATTGCCAAGTGAAGAAATTCGTTAAACTAGCTCGACTTCTGTTCAAACACTTTTGAAAGAATAGCTTCACGAGGTGTTCATGGTTTTCTATGAGGGCCGTAAACACAAGCTGTTTACCGTAGATAGGTAGTTCTTACGTGAGACAAAGAATTCCATCTCTCTTGAAAGATAACTTTTGTGTGCTTTCCCAGACACATTAATTAACCAGAAACAGAGAAATTGCTACCTTCCCTGGAGATGGATCAAGAGATTGTGCTGGCCTAGGGCGAAACAAGAAACTATTTTTTTTTCTCTTGTCAGACCCTGGTAGGCCTGCAAAGTTTGAAGACGCTTTGAATTAAACATCTTTAAAGAGAATTTCCATTTAATAACGCTTTCTGCAGGCATTCAGATTCCTTGATGCACTTCAATTTGAGGAGATTTGATGACACTTTTGCTTTAATGTAAAATCAGGAACAATACTGAGAGATGACTTTAAACTAAGCTAGTTTTTCTCATTTCTATTAGGTTTCTGGTTTATTCTACCTAGGAAAAGAAATTCATGTCATCTCGTCTGAACAAGTACCTTTCTATGACTTCTCTTTTGTCCTTTCTATTCGGAAGACATTTTGACATTCAAAACGCGGCTATTTAACTATCTGAAAAATCCGGCGCTTATTTTATTTATTTGTTTTTTACAATAAAGGGGGGGGGAGAACACTAATCTAGTAACATAAAAGTTTTCCTTTCATGGACAAAAAAAAAAAAAAAAAATGGCAAAAAAAAAATTTGAACTTACAGATCGTTTATTCAGACAGCATCCACTAATTGTCTGTTCAGTTCATTACTTCGTTCGTGTTTGCCTTTTGTGCCTTTTTATGTAAAGACGTAATTTTAATATTAAAATTTTTGCGTGCAAAGTCTGTAAGGATGTATCGCGCTACAGCGACTTCCAGCTTATATTGAAATATTTTATCAGTAGAGTTGAAGAGTAAAGACGTAAGCAAGGTATAAAGAACACAGCCATTTTCTGTCTGATGTGATGAGAAAATTTTTTACAAATAGAGATGGCCCACCAGCGGCCGAGCGGTAAAAACCGCTAAATACTGGTAGTTCGGTCCGGGTTTAGAGTCCCGGCGAACGGGCTGGGAGCATCCCTCCCTTTTCGTGTAGTGCCTTAGGGCGGAGTACGTAATAAGTTAAAAAATAGCATACAGCAGAGTTTCTCAACCGGTGGTACGCAAGAGAAAAATAGGTGGTACACGAAGAAGTAAAGTATTTTTAACTATTAAATTAAAAAATTGAAGCCCCAAGGATTGAGTTTCTTCTCTAACACTCGCAAATTTATGCGATCTGAGCTTTGTTCAAGAGTGGTGGTGGTGGTAATAGTACTTTGTTGTGGTGGTACTAAAGGTTTTCAATTTTTGTTTAGATGGTACGCGTCTGTCAAAAGGTTGAGAACCACTGGTATAGAGATTAAGGAAAATTTATTAATCATCTCTCAAAAGCTGCGTGTGTAATAACACATAACATACACAAACACGGATATGCACACACACAACTATAATTCTGTCCTTTCATCTATTTCAGAAAGAAGAAAAAGGTTGCTGTAAACATTTCTTGGTACGCTCATATTTGACGTAAATTCTAGGAATATCTTTGAGGGGATCGACTTGAATATATTTAAGTTTTCAGCATAATTTCATTCTATTTTTATCGTCTTTTATCTTTAATTTAATTAAGTTTACTTGGTTGAATTCAGACTAGTTTGTTTAGACTAATTTAACGCGTTATCTTTCTATCGCCAGTGGGATTGGTGGTACATTCGAGCGTTATCATGTCAGCCAGAGGCCTCACAGACAAAACTATAAAATTTGCTTCTAATTTTGAGTGTGAATTCATATCTAATAAAACATTATATCTGAAAATAACCTTCCCATACTGTTCTCAAAACCTTTCATGCTTCATTTATCAAAACTTTGGGAGAGATGGTATTGCCTATACAACTGGAAAAGTTTTTATAGAAGATGACCTTTTTTTCAACCAACTCCATTACTAGCAAAATTAAAAGGAATACCAAAGATAGAGCTTAATGTGCAGGAAATCATTTTGAAGCTACGCAAATGTATAATATCAACACATTTTAACATGGCCGCATTTAATAGAAAGCTACATCACAATACTTTTTGTAACATTTAGAAACTATGCACAATCTTAAACTTTTAATGCAATTAAATTATTAGAAAATTGTTAACAATGTTCGTCAATAGGTATGAATTTTTTGCGCGTATAAATGTCTCGAAAACATGGTTTATATCTAAAAAATATTGTCTTAACATAACTGCACATTTCTTCAAAATTTGAAAACATACTTTTGGACTAAGAAGTTTCTAAGAAGTCTGTTTTGCTATTATAAAAACGAATTTTACAACTAAGTTGTAAAGAGCGTTCATCAATTTTTGATGAGTACAAATCACTGAAGTTTTCACTAGTTACGCACTAGCAAGCCCTTAATCAGTCCAAATTTTCATGATTTAAACATTATACTGTATGTATAATTTACTAATGTTTAATTCTCGAGTGTTTAAATTTTGTTATCTATTGATTAGTTCATTTAATTATCTCTAAAAGGTATACAATCTGTAATTGAGTAGTTCTTTAAATAACTTATTTAATTTTTATATTCCTCTCACAACAACAAGCTAATTTAAAAACATGAGCATAGATAAAGTTTGAAGGAAAAGGGAAAATTTTGCGGTTCTGCTCATTATGTTTTACCTTGAAATAGAAATAAAGATATTATCTTACAAAATATCCAGTGCTGAAATGGAAGTTTTTATTGCAACGTGACAGATAA